AGAGTTTCAGGGAATAAGCTTCCAAGAGTCAAAGCTCCCTTCATCAGGCTGGGTGATATTACCATTGTCGTGAGGTCAATATAAGGGAAGGGAGACTGGAGGAAGGGTGGGATAAAGAGGGGATTGACAGACAACATGTGAGCAGCAGAGTCATCCCGCAGAGGTGGCCAGGGGCAACCCGGCAACCCTAACTAGGGCTGTTTTAGCGAGGGAGGGAGGGAGGGGAGTGCCATTTCACAAGGGTTTCAAGAAAACTAGACAGCCCTCTCTTGTGAATAGAAAGAATGAAAAGGGGGGCGTGTGTGTTTGTCTAATCTCCTGGGGACACAGAAACACGCCCGGGCAATCTCCTGTATAGCCGTGCAAACCGGAAGAACGAGATAGGTACAGGTGAAGCAACAGAACGACGGTTTGAGTCCGGCGGCACCTTTCAGTTTTGAATCCAGTGGCTCACGAAAGCTTGTGCCCAGAATAAAAACGGCGTGGGTCTTAAAGGTGCCGCCGGACTCAAACTTTGTTCTGGAGGAACAAAGGCAGCTTTGTCAAACGGTCCGACTTCACAGTGGCTTGCGGGTGCCCGGATCCTGCCAGGACAGCTGATGGCCTCAGAAGCCGGTTGTGCTGGAGGGGAGGGGGTGGCGGGAGGGAAACGCCTCCCCTGGCCACGCTTTTGATTGGAATCGCCTCCCGGAGGTGGGACTCGGCCAACTGCGAGCATTCCTCTCTTCTATTTTGGATTTGGTTTCCCTTTTTTGTGGGGTGTTTACTATGGCCAAATCTTTTGGCACACTGTGCAAAGGCCAGGGGCAGCCGGCCAAGTTTTATAAGCACCCATTTGTTTAAAAAAGGGGGAAGTCGGAGGCCTGTGCTTTGACATGAGATCAGGCCTGGGGGTGGGGGGCAGCCGGGAGAGCGGTGCAGCACCAGAGGGTGGGCTTATCCGGCTGCAGACCGACCCTTTGGCGCTTGGGGCAGAATCAACTTTCACCCACATCTCGGGGCAGAATCAACTTTCACCCACATCTCGGGAGCTTTCTCGTTCAAAGTAAGAAATGGTTTGAAAGGGGGTGGGTGGGAGTTTGACTGACAGTCTTCGTAGACTGTGTCCCTTCATCACAAGGTCCTAAATGCCGTTCCAGAGAGATCTACGTAGCAGGATTTACGGAGGGGAAAACTGGGGCCGTGGCTTCCTTACACCGCTGAGGATTCCGAGTTGGTGCTCGGATGGGTAGTCCGGTCTTTGCCGGTGCTCCGGGCAGGCCGAGTGCATGTTTTCGGAATGTGATCGGTGCTCTCCTGTGCTCGGGACGACTTTGGCCACGGCAGGCAAGCTGGGTTAGGGGGTAGATTGACCTCTGTTAATGACCTGGTGGGTGACCCAGTGACATGCTTTCCTGGGAACCCTGGCAGAAAGAATGGAAAGACGGAAAGCCTGTTTGGGTGGCCAGCTCAGCGTGCATTAGAAGAAAAGGCAATGGACATATTTCTCCTTAGCCAGGCTTTGGACGTTTGGCGCTGTCCTTTTCAGCGTTCTCCTTATCCAGCCTGCATCTCAACTGTTTTGTGAGCTTGACCGAAATGGCTTCCATCTTATTCTGATGCTATTTCTATATGCCCTTTGGTCAATGCTCCCTCTAAGCTGCGGAGCCCTGTGAGCAAAAATTCTACTGGGTGAGCGACTGGCATTAAGCCTGTGAGCGAGCGATTTGGCTGCTGCATAAATCCATTTGCTCTGGAGCCCTCCTCCCTGGGCTGAGACAAAAATCTGTGAGCCGGAGGCTAAAAAACTGGGAGCTAGCTCACACTCACTCACCTTAGAGGGAACACTGCCTTTGGTAGTCTTGTTGGTTTTTCTGTCATTGGCCACAGTGAGGGTTGCCTGGTCCAGCATGGGACATACCTGGAGATTTTGGGGGTGGAGTCTGAGGAGGGTGGGGTTTGGGAGGGGAGGGGCCTCAGGGGCATAGACTGCTAGAATCTACTTTCCACAAGTGGCTGTTTTTCTCCAGGGGAACTGGAGAGCAGTTGTAACCGGCGTTCCCTCTCAGCTGAGTCAGTGTGAGCTAGCTCACAGTTTTTTAGCCTCTGGCTCACACATTTTTGTCTCAGCTCAGGAAGAGATGGCTCCAGAGCAAACTAATTTGGTGTAGTGGTTAAGTGCCAGTTTGGTGTAGTGGTTAAGTGCGCATA